GACGGGGTCTTTTGCTGATTCTACTTTTTGTGTGTGATTTATTGTGCCTGATCCAGTTGGAGGACCTCTTTCCATTATTCTGTCGGCTATACGCGCTAAATGAGATAATGAGGTTTCAGGATCCTGTGCATCCAAACAGTGTTGGACGTAGCATGGGAGAGCTTGTATCCATCCTTGTTTTAGGACTGCTTCACCCACTGTGTTATCACCCACTAATACTTGGAGGTGACGTAAAAACTGTGACGGCGACCGATCACCTAGTGTTTCACCTTGAAAAAGTTTTTGGATTCTTTGACTATCTGATAATGATAAACGGTTTATTATCTCTCGTCTTAAGATGGTGTATGGTTGTGGTGATGGTGGATCTAAAATCAAGTCACGGACTTCTTTGGCGACTGAAGGAGGAAGGATAGAACACAAGTCTCTATAGCGAATCCCTTCAGATTTGATATTGTGTCTCGTGAAATAATGCTCTAGTTGAGCAAACCACAACTCAGGATCACTACGATCAAATTCTGGAAGTCGGGATTTCGTAGTCATAACAGTGTCTATCTCCACTGGTGACAAATCCTCCAGATTATGGGTTTCTATTGAGTCTGACATGAGGTATGTGACAAATATAGCAATAAAGTTAGCACAAAAAGTGGTTACTATAACACGAATAACTTAAGATAATACGGAATAAACTAGTTATATACTCAAATTAGTTTACGGATAATCAGGTCTACTTTTACGATTAAGTAAAAAAAATGTTAATAACAGAAATGAGGTTAAATTTGTGTTCAAAAAGGGCTCATCAGTTTCGTGCCTTAAGGTAACCCTCGTGTTATTGACAGAAGAAACCAGAGAAGTAGTGAATAGGTCTTTATTTCGATCTTCGCGCAGTCACAATGGAGTGTGGGATTATCTGTTCAGACAAACAAAGGCTCTCAACATTCAATATACGATAATAGGGAATATAACGCTTATAAAAAATAAGCAAGTGAATGAATACTTGAACAATACTGTTTTGGCATAAGCTTGGTTGTTTGGGGTCAACTCTTAACCAACCAACCTGAGCTGTTGCACAGTCTTGGCATTTGTATTGAAAATTCTGACTTTGGTGTTGGTTGACAGTTGTTTTGAGTTCCAGATTTTCTTCAGTTGTGAATATGCTGCTCTTGGTTTGTGATATGTGGGCGAGAACGATAATGACTGGTTGTCTGCTTAGTCAGAGATGTAGATTGTCTGTCAAGTGTCAGATGAGTTATTTATTCCGCGATCCTTATTAATGTTATTATTGATTGTTGTTGGATCGTGTCGTGCTTGATGTGGAAATACATTTACGTTCTAGTTGAGCCAATCACGTGTTCTTGATTTGAGTTGTGTTGAAGTCCTGTGGAATAGACACTAGGAAGAAATCTAGTGTAGATATTTGTCCGAAGTAAATTAACATTTCATACGTGTAAATGAAGTAAAACCGATCGTTATAACACTCTGTTGACCCGCCCCTTCACGTCTGTTTCAGATCCACGGTGCTCATCACTGATACTGCCCAGTTATGTAAAGGTTTTTACATCTTCTAAAGCTTCTCCGTCAAGTGTGATTTGATTGGTGCGTGTTGTGCTGTATCGAAGAATCTTGCTTTTCCCTTTGTGTGTGTGTGGAGACTCACTGCTGCTGAGGTTGCTGCTACACTGTTCGTTTTCTCCTGCATTTGTTGTCGAGTGTGCGATAGAAGAGCCAGATCACCTGTGATGTCTAGATCATGAAGTTGCGTCCAAGCTGTCCACTGTGTCTCCTACTTACCCCAGATATTGAGGTCTTCATAATCCAGTCGATCGCCCGAAGAAAGGGGAAGTGTGGGAGTAAGAAACCTTACATAACATCAGTCTTTACTTCGACTGAGTCTGTGAGCTGTCCTCCATGCACGAGTTTGCAGTTTAATCCATCATAAGAATTTCGTATGATATTGATTATCTTCTCAGACATGCCGTAGTGTCGAAGTTTCCATAATGTTCTCCTATCCACACTGTCAAATGCTTTCTCATAGTAAAAGAAGTTAACGTATAGTTACGATTTCCATCCAATTGATTATTCAATAGTGTCGCAATTCGGTGTGTGCACGACCGAATCTTACGGAATCCAGCTTGTAGACGTCTACTGAGCCTTTCATCCAGTTCATCAACACTCTGTTGGAAAGCATTCCTGGTGCTGACAGTAGTGTGATGCCTCTGTAGTTCTCACATGTGCTCAGATCTCCTTTCTTTGGCATTTTGATGAGGTATCCATGTACCCAGTCTATCGGCACTTGTTCTTCCTCTCAAATCTCCCTGAATAGGACGTTGAGCATGTATGCAATTACCTCTATGTCTGAGTTTAGTGCTTCGGCTAGTATATATTGTCAGATGCAGCTGCTTTCCCACTCTTCATTTGTCTGATAGCCATCCTCATTTCTTCCATCGTTGGTGGAATGTCTGTATGTGCTACTTTGATAGCCGGTGGATTGAATGAAGCTCGTCTTTTCAAAACTTCTACCCGTTTGCTCCTCTCTCCTTGAGTTTCAGTAATTAGCTTACTTTGTCGTTGACCGGTTTCTCTGGCCTACAATATCTCCCTGCTAGTTTCTTCGTTGTATCATATAGTCTCATATTTCTTCCTGCATCTTTTTCCACTGTCGTTGCTAGTTCTTCCATGTATTTCTGTTTGTCGGCTCCTATTATCTTCATCTATCATTAGGTACATGGATATAATTTCTAACACTTTTCCCGACTTCTAATTTGACTGGTTTGGTATCATTTGATTATAAATGTGTTACGGACAAAAGTCTCATCAAACCCTTATTAGTTGTGGAACCTTTACTGTTGTAGACTTAGTGAAATTTCACTCAGCCATGTCGTCTTGGCAGTCGGGTGTCAGATTATCGACATTCCGCCGATACTCATCATGTCAAAGACAACAAACGCGCGTCAGTGTACTGCACGCTATGGATTGGCCCGTTCAACAGTAGTCACACTCCATTTCTTGTAACCTAATACTACCATATTTCTGTAATGACGTCGATTGTTGTTTCCGTTAATCAGAGCAGCCATAATATCCGGATACGGTCAGAGGGTAATTGACGTTAGGCACTGACGGCAAGGCGTGACTTCTAAAATGGTGTAGGAACTTGATCGTTCGACAAAGATTATCACAGGTGATCATCTGCAATGTCAACTATCGAAATCAAGCCGGTACAAGCTTTTAAGAAGTTCAATATAATCTGAAAAAATTATGTTTAATTTAAGACAAAATTTCAACAAAATAAACTTTCTAAAATCGTTGTACAATTCTGCACGCGTGGCAAAATCATAATAATTAGAAAACCCGAAGATATTTAGGCTACTCCATCAAGAGTCACTAAATAAGAACTCAAAAGACTGTGTTTTACGATAAACTTGCTATGCAAAGCGCGTATTCTGCTCTAAATGGCTCATACATTCGCCGTTGTTAACAAACTCGTTTTGCATTGCGAATATTTTAAAAGTAATATTGCATTTGGGAAGTTTTTAAAGGACATGAATCACGCAAGTCATGAATATGCCATAGATAATAAAGAATCCAACGGAGTCGCCATAAAAAATCTTCGTGTAAGGCATGCGTAAATCAGATATTAAAGTAAGCAGTCAATATAAAGAGGAAAAATAGTGTCGATGTGTATCAGCCGTAAATAAATTCGACACTATTAAACCTACCATATCGTAGAGTAGCGTTTCACATAAGATACCCAAAGATATCGCTACAATGTTTTGCCTATTACTTTAATTAACACTAACCAGAGGAGTTCAGGAGCTAACAAAGCAAAGAGAGATTTGAAGAACCATCGAGATTGATCCGAAACATTATGGCATTGAAAATGGGTATGAAGGCGCTATTGTCAATAGGTATGCTGTAGCGCATTTATAACGTGGTCCTAACGCTAGCGACCTTTAATCTGTACTGATATATCCCCAAGTGTTTTTTATAATCTTCACTAAAAGCAATGTTTTTTGTGTTGTGTCTAAATCTACTCTTAGAAAGTTTGTTTTCTGTTTCGTTTCCAATGGTTGTAAACGTTGAATTACATGGCTGAGAATTGATCTCAGTGACATAAATACAGTAACTATTTCCCTTCTCTTTTGTCCGAACTTGGATGTGGCAGTGGCTTAAGAAGGGCTCCAGATGATATCGTATTTCTTGTGACAACTAGCCACTTCATACATTTCACTTTTTTAAGCTATAGTGTCGGTAACAGTAATGGGGATACTATTTATAATAAATAATGCTATTCATCGTGTGCGCTTTTCGATTTCGTCGCCCTTGATCTCCCAAGTTTTTTAGGTTGAGGTGATCTTTTACGTTTTAGGCCAGACCCGTTTCTATTACAATGATAAGTTCCACTTTAGTATAGTCTATCCGCACATTTAATTCCAATTGTTTGTTAAGCAAGCTTCGAGGATTTGTGTGACAGGTCAAACGACAATTCAAATACCTGCATCGGTGCTGAGTCATCATCTCATGAAGTCTACAGGTGACCTATCTTTTTCTCCCATTTCTAGCCTTGATTTTAGTTCTTGCCTTTTTATATGATCAGCGAGTTGTCCTTGAAGAAGTCTCTTGACCCTTTCAGTTCATGTACACCCCGAGAGTGAACCCTGTGATACCTTAGTCATTAGTTTGTTTGAGTAAATTTTTGAATTAACTAACAACAGATTCTAAACTAGTTCTGGGTTCGGATTTTCTGATCTCAACTGTGTGAGAAATAATCAATGTATAACCATGATCAGCATTGGGTTTAAAATCGCAATTAAGGAATCCTACTCTGAGCTCTTATATCAGGTCGTTTCTTCTGCTACTAGGTTTATTCGTTGAGTGTATTAGCTAATTGCTCATACGTTCTGAATTGTTTTTAAAGGCTTTTAGAAAGTAGACCTTTGGTGATACCTTTCAAAACTTTCTCTTTATTTAGACAAAACGGCGAGACTCTAATTTAGGGACGAGCCAATCAGAAGCGTTTGAGCAATTTCAAGGTCACGGAGCCAAGTTCAACACGCGCTGCTAACATACGATCGGTTCACAGCAGATTTTTGAGAGTAGGTGATTAATGAGAGGTTACAACAGATAGAACGGCGAGACTCTAATTTAGGGACGAGCCAATCAGAAGCGTTTGAGTAATTTCAATTATTAGTCAATCAGAAGGTCGTCCTTAAATTAGTCTCGCCGTACTTACTGTACTCATACAGGGATAGTTATTTGATTAACTTATAATCGTCATAAATACTCTTGTCGACCACGATATTCCACCTAAGCTTTAGTTTTTGCGAACTTTAATCTTTGGCACGTTTCAACGCTGATAAATATCTACCATTTAATTCTTGCCACTTGATCTGAGTTTCTTTACCCCAAATGCCCTGGTACGATGAGAGTGGGGAGAGTCCGCTCTCCCTCTCGAAATGCTCTCGCATGGTCACGCGTATATAGCCTCTGCCAGGGAAGTCGTACTCACTGCCTTCTCGTGGCGGGGGTGTTGTTTACGAAAATGAGAGGACGAAAAGCGAATATCCGGCGTTTTAACAGGATTCCAAACGAATGGTGCACATGGGCTCCAGTATCCTGCGGGAACAAATGGCATATAAACCAATTGTTGGTCACCGGCTCCCATGGGACTGCATCTCCTTACAATGTTCCACTGCCTTGTAGATCAGACCTTCAGGTCGAAGGCTCGGGGAGTGGCCCCCTAAGAAAACCACCTGCTTCGGTTCGGGCACCCGGGCGGTATCACAGCCCTCACACATATCGAATGAGATTTGTATGGCGCATATGTATTCGGTGCCTCCTTGTACCAATATCTATTTGTTAAAATAAATAAATAAATACTTTACTCCCACGAGATACATGCCATATACCTAAACTAAACATTCAAGTAATTCAAAATATGTATTCGACACTGCCGTTGCATAACCTTGAGACCAGTGGTTTTTTCGGGCAAGGTGTAGTATAGAAACGTTATTTACCATCAAATTATGAAGTTACACTTAGGTTTCTTCATTCACTAAAAATATCCTCAGTCAGTAAGCTACAATGTAGGACCAGGCAGATATATGCATCGGTCCAAGTTGCCGTACCGCATTAGCACAGCAATATGAACACCGTATTCATAGGAGTAGTTAAGCCAATGGTGGTAATATATAAAAGATTGCATATATAGTATATTAGGTCTAAGTTCTTTATCTGATGTTACATATTTTATAGGCAATATTTATAAAAAATAACATACAAGTATGAGAAAACCTTAGCAAAAGATATTTTTTGAAATACTAAAAATCCATTTATCTGAAGACAGTTAAGCACTGCAAAATCAGTATTTAATAAAAGTTGCTACAAAAATCCACCACAATACTGTTTGTTGCAGGAATTGTAAGACATTTTGGGATATACTTAATCTTTTGCAACAAATCATAGCGATGTAACACAATTAATATATTGTGCGGATCACGATTTCCTGATAGTTAGGTGGACATCACACCTCGACGTAGGTTTGTTTAATTTAAATGTAAAACCAGTCGATGGCAGATTCATTTGTTTATTTGAAAACTGATTGTGCTTTTGTCAGGTGGCTGAAGCAATCGATAGGAAACCCTATTTCTCATTTTGATTTGTACTTGTAAGGCATCTTTTCAACAATAAAGTAAGTAATTCCTTTTTTAGGATTAGAACTCGCACTAATCATTACCACAATCAGGGATGTTAATACCAAGTTATTCAAGCTACCCAAACTAAAGCAGGTAATACTCCATGTAAGAGTGTTGTTTAAAGTGTAGATAGCCTAGCTATAGTATTTTTGGAAGATAATATCTCATGATCGTCATGAATAGCAATTTTCCATAAGGCCTCACTTAACTCCGTAACTTCAGATAGGATATTATCAATTCCATACTCCTTTTAAAGTCACTTCCTCCAATGCTTCTCGAATAACTTATTCATTTGTCGCTTACTGTGTATTTTCGTGGCACATATTAGTTACCAAGGTCTTTCCCCCCTTCTTTAGATCAATCTTATCTAGGAGTTTTCAGAATTTTTTTACTGCTGGGACCACTATGTGGAATTTTCATATCTTACTGTCGACAAAATTAGCTGAAGTTTTGAAATTCAAACAACCATTCAGAACACGTATATACCATTTCGCTCTTCAACCCAAGATGATTAAATATAATGAGTCAATAGACCCAGAAGATCCTCGTCTCGTAAAAGCCGTTGCTCCAGCACAAAAATGGGAACATACGGGGTCCAATTTTGATGAACTTGTCTCAAGAATTGTGGGGATGATGACCATTCGAGGCGAAAGAGAGGTGGCTAGAAATGTAATGCGCATGACGTTTAGAGAAATAAAACTAATACAGGTACGTGTTTATCACTTTATTCATTTCTCATAGATGCGGAAAAACAAAAGTATTGCAAATATTTCGGAAAGTAATGCTACTGTTATTAATCCCACTACTGTGATTCATGAAGCAGTAAAGAACTGTACACCTTTACTACTGCTACAATCAGTACCACGTGGTGGTATTTTGTACAAGGTAATAATTTAAAAAATGATATTTAGATTCGATTTTCTAACTATGAAGTGTTACTGAATGCATAGTCATGCTATTTTCGCTGCGTTTTGTAAATTACTCACGTCATATTACTCGTTTAAATTCAATGGCCTACGCAGTGGGAAGCTGCTAATTTTGTGTTTGATTTTCGTATGGTTATGTATATATAATATTTGTTTGATACATGTCAACAAGGACACCAAGTGATATACTTATATTTCTTCTGTAAAATAATAAACAAAATAGATATCTAGATCATACAGGAGCTGTTTACTGGGCATTAAGATATACTTGTAAAACTGTAAAACTAAGGTGACAGTTCACTGTTAATCGTAAAATCTCGTTGATTATTTTATTTCTGTATTTGTTTAAGAGCTTATTGGGTTTACGGGTGATTATAATACTAATCGCATACTACTTCATTTTTTTATAATAGATTACACTGGAATATTTATCTTATAAAATCTAGCCAATTTTATATTAATATCGCAACATTTTGCCTTCTGAATTATGAGCATTCCTTTCATCTACTTGTTGATACAAAAACATCTGTCCTCTACAAAATCACAAAACAACAGTGCTTAAGTTTTGGTAATTTCTATGCAAACAACTTAGTGAGTTTATTAGCTTGGATGTACATATCGCATAAATAAAAGGGAAGTATAATGCCAACTTGTAGTTAAATTCACATAAAGAAACATTAGTCGGGCAATTGTATTTTTTGGTAAATCCTGGTTGTTTTGAACGAAATTTAGAGGAAGTTTATTTGTTTTTTCTAAAAGTAGACGTGCTTTTTCTTCGTCGTTGTACATTTCTACTTTCGGCTCGTCATCCATTCATTGAGATCTAAAGATACACTGGCTGACTAATCCACGACATCCTAAGATAACAATAAAATTAGAATTGAAAATGATTTGATGATTACGATATAATCGTCGTCAAATAAATCATATCAGTAGATTTCACACATACTACCTCTTTTTATTTTTCTCAATCCAGATTCTTTTATAAACTAATTCTTCATTTACGTTTGAACTTACAATTCACCGACACGATAAGCAACATTACTTTTTAAGTACCTAAACCTGAACGGGTTCATGTGGGTACTTGTGAGTTTTGAACAAAAACCCAGCAGCACTGACTTAAACTTATTCAGTGTAACCCAAAAGGAAAAGAAATTCCCATCTCATTGTTTTTTTTGGGTATGGTTACAATTAGAAAACGATTCTGTACATCTGCACTATATTATGTATGAGCAATTTTAACCTCTTAGTTTAAGGGAAAACAGGGAGTATATACACCGACGCCATTGTGATCGATTCTGAGCCATGTCACTCACAGTCTCCAACCATTGGTTACGAAAGTCACGCGGACCCCAACCAAGTAGTCTGCATCTACCAACATGGCTCAGACTAGAAGTTAGTGACTTCAAGCACTGATGCCACGTTTTGGTTTGGCCGCCCCTAACTTTCTTCCAACCATCTCTAACACCAGTTAGCATTGCACGACGTGGTAATCAGTGTTCGGGCATACGTAACACGTGGCCCAACCATCTCAGTCGATGAAGATTCACAACCTCATCAACTGATTTACCATCATTCCCTAATACCCTGCGTCTAATCTCACTATTACTTACCTGGTGATCCCAGCAGACGCCAGCAATATTTTTGAGGCATCTGTGGTCAAATAGTAATAGCTTACGTATGTCTTCTACTCTTAAAGGCCATGTTTCGCTGCCGTACTTAATGATAGTCAAGCTAAAAGTATATTTCAAGAACAATTAGAAAAACCGGTAGGTAGCCATGTAAGTGATGCCCACCCCGAGGCAGCATGGAACGATGCCCGAAAAGCTGTGGAAACGGCAGTGATATCTGCTAGTACGGTAACCCGTAAGGTTAGGGAGCAACACTGGGTCTCAGCAGCATCTATCGCACTGATAGATGCTCGGAAACTCATCCCATCTGGCTCTGAACATAATGAGGAGCGTAGTCAGGTAAGCGCAAGCTGATAAGAAGTCTACGCAATGATCGCGAACAGTGGTGGGTAGCGAAAGCAAGAGAGATGGAAAAGGCAGCGGCAATAGGTAATAGCAGACAATTGTTCAGACTCGTTAAGGAAACCGGAATTAGGAACCAGACCGTTAGCGAAACACTCTCAGAGAAATATGGACATATTATACATTCTCAATCCAAGAGATTGGTTCGATGGGCAGAACACTTTAGGGATCAGTTCAACTGGCCTTCAGCCACACTTCGGTTTCCCACAATCTCCAGTCAACCTGAATGGCAAGTTAGTGTAGGTCCTCCGACTCTTTACGAAGTTGAAAAAGCCATAGGAAATCTGAAGCGAGGGAGAGCAGCAAGCCCTGACAGGTTTACTCCTAAGATTTTTAAGGATGGTGGTTCAGTATTAGCAGTGAGATTAACTGAAGTCTTAGGTAGAATTCGGGAATTGGACGTAATCCCATCTGACTGGTCTCAGTCACTGATTGTGTCAGTTTATTAGAAAGGACAAAAGTCCTCCTGTGACAATCACAGAGGAATCAGTTTGACTAATATAGTGTCTAAAATATTAGCTTCAATAATACTTCTACGCCTAACAAAAGCTCGTGAAGAACAGACTAGAGAAAATCAGGCTGTTTTTCAACCTGGACGTGGTTGTATAGACCAGATATTCACACTACGTCAGGTCCTAGAACATAAACACACATTCAGACGCCCCACAATGGTAGTATTTCTCGACCTTAAGGCGTCATTTGACAGTGTTGATCTCGAGGTTCTATGGTAGTGTTTGTCATTGAAAGGAGTACCAAGGAAATACATTACCCTTGTAAAGGCTCTCTATTTGCACGCAACTGGTCGAGTGAGAGCTTATGGCGAACTGTCATCAGAATTGATTACATCAAGTGGTGTTCGTTAGGCCTGTCCACTCTCCCCATTCTTGTTCAACTTTGTGGTCGACGTACTTTTAGAGATAACACTCTCCTCATCTAAATTTCCAGGGGTTGAACTTCTACCGGGAGGTTCACTTGTTGACTTAGAATATGCTGACGACATCGTTCTATTTGGTGAAGACGCTGACAAAATGCAGTCTTCTGACCATTCTAAGCAACAATGCATGCATGTTCGAGATCCGATTCTTCCCCTCGAAATGCGAAATGTTGCTTCAGGATTGGGTTACTTTGACACCCGGATTAATAATACGGGGTGAAGTAGTTGGGCGTGTCGACCGCTTCACTCATATTAGAAAACTCATCAGCCCTTGTGGTCTGGTGTGTGACGAAATCTCAGCACGGATACAGAAGGCTCGACTAGCTCTTGCCAACTTGCGTCATTTATGGCGTAGGTGAGATATCCATCTATCAACCAAAGGACGTGTTTACTGCGCAGCAGTTCGTTCCTTCCTACTTTATGGCAGTGAAACATGGCCGGTAAGAGTAGAGGATATTCGTAGGTTCCTAGTATTTGATCATAGGTGTCTTCGAAATATTGCTCCAATATCCTGAGACTATCGAGTAAATAACGCAGTTTTTATTACGTTTTTGATTGAAATCTCCACAACCCCCATACTAGTAATCAACATGTGCTCATTAGCGACTAGCTTCTTGATGGAATTCTCGGAGTTCTAGTGAGAAGCCGTGATCAGTGAAGCTAATCCATGTCGGGTAGATACAGGTATCTACCTCAGTACAATGGAAGTTGGTCGCGTAATTTTGTGGATTGGTTGATGTTAGACACTATCACCATTGGATGCCGGCTCAGTGGTCCAGTTGGTTAAGCGTTCGCGCGCGAGACCGAAGGCCCTGGGTTCGAACTCCGCGGGCGGGACCGTGGATGCGCACTGCTGAGGGGCCTCGCAATAGGACGAAACGGCCGTCCAGTGCTTCCAGGTTTCCAAAGGTGGTGGTCTTACATCAATCGGTTCATGATCTCAATCAAAAAATATGAATGAGGTCAGATATAGTAGATTTAGGGGTGGACATTGAATAAATTCCTCAAAAAGGTTATCAAGTGTAAAGATAATAATAATAATAATAATAATAATAATAATAATAATAATAATAATAATGTTCGGGACATAAAATGAACATTAATTAGATTACGTCACCATATTATAAAATTGATTATTAACTAGTTGGCCTCAAAGTTGGCCAGGGTAAAATGAGTGGCTGAACATACTTCTTTTGGATACAAATCTCTGGCTTTTTGATCCGGATAGCAATTCCTTCAGCCGTCTGTAGAATTCGCAGTCTGACGGAATTAGGTAGACTGCTGTCAACACGATAGATTATTGCAAACGATTGCTCTATGTTGGTTGTATGCCCTGTTTGAACTAGATGGTGTAAGATGGAGCTGCTAACAGTTTTGACTACACCTTTGCTTAACCACACGGAGAGGTGCTCACGAGCCCGAATGTATAAATTCCTAGAACATCTGCCAATATAACTTGCTTCACAGGAGCAGTTGAATTGATAGATACAGAATGAAGTGGTTAGTCTAGGTAATTTATCTTTCGACCTCGGAGTGAATGAAATATTTCATAATCACATTTGGTTTGACCTACTGAACCCCATAATTATACCAGGAATTCAGAACTTCTTGTTTTCAATGTTATTCCAAGATTACTAGATTAAGCATTTATGTCGACTGAAATTTGTTTATCACTTAGCTACATCTTCAGTACCATGAGTGCTCTCTTTGAGAACTTCCTACTTATTGTCAGACAGCCATCGAAAATTTCATTTAATCGGCCTGATCATTTTAATTCATCGTTCTATGAATCTAGTTACGTTAATATATGTTTGTGCTACATATTCGTCTGTAATGTTTTGTCTGTACAGGTTCCTGCTCCTCCAGTATCTTCTTCCGTTGCCACGCATACTGCAGTGAAATTTATTTTGGACGCAGCTAGAGGAAAGCCACGTGATCAACGAATATGGATATCTCTGGCAAACGAATTTATGGTGGCTTCACAAAACCAAGGGAAAGCTGTCAAATACAAGGTTGAATTACATAAACAATGTGAAGAGAATCGTGCATATGCTAATTTTAGATCACACTAACTAATTTCCTTCCAAACTTCGTTTTTCTATAGAAATCGTACGCTTGTAAATATCCATTCGTTATAATAAATACTTACTTTTATAAACATATCTTTTCTTGTATACATTGTTCTTTAAATTTACTTCCAAGAATATTTGCTTCAGTGTTTGCATTAGAAAATCTGTCTGATGATTGTCCACTGTTTTCAAATAAAATTAACACTATCTTCTGTTGAAGTGGTGGGCTACTGTGCCCTAGTTCGTTGGAACTATTGAACAGCTGAACAACTGAATTGCTTTAGTGTAGAAGAACATTCTTGCTAGTGTTAGAATCCTGCTTCTATTTTAGGTTTCCTATAAACTTATAGTTTGTGGCACTGTTTTGGGTTTTCATGTGATAAATTCCGCTAGTGTTTAGAAAAATTATATTCAAAATAACAGTAATAATAATATATGAAACTAGGTTTCACAAAATGGCATGGTGTACAAAGTTTTGGAATTCCAATTAATTTCAAGCTTGAATTTCAATATTTGATTCTAATGTTTAACTGTTATGCCAGTATATTATCTTTTCGTTGTGAGATATAATATCGAGCATTATTTTTTTTAGCCTAACAATACTGAAAAATGCTAATTCACAGCAATCTGCGCGTCTTACCCTCATCCAAATGGTTCGATTTGTTAAATCTTAAGTATGACTACAAGCGCTGTCGCCATGCGCATACTTATGCACAACATATAGGTAGTAATCTTAAAGCGAAAATTTCAGCCAGTGATCCACCTATCGCAACAATACGAAATGTTGGTTTAATTGCTCATATCGACGCTGGTAAAACGACTACTACAGAACGCATGCTTTACTATGCTCGTAAGCGTTTAGCTTGATATATTATGTTGTCTCTTTATTTTGCATTTCATTGAGACATCTGTATAAAATTGTGATACTTCTATCAGATCAGTCACATATAAAGTATTGAAAGCTTCTAACGTTTACTGGTTTCTTCGTAAATTAAAAGTAAATGATACATAATCATATTTCATATATCTATGTGTGTACTCTGTTTCCATGCCTGTTAGCCGGTAACTGAGTGCAATTTAAAAAAAATGTTTCTAAAGTAACACAACCAATAAATGATAAAGGTGTTCTCACATAAAACAGTTCCACGAAAAGATTTGTGATTACATCGCTTCGTAAAAACAACTATCTTACATGTTACCAAATATTTTTATATAACTGTCAATTGCATAATATAAGGTGCTATGTTAACTCCAAATGTGTTGTCAACTGCTGATCACCGAAGTTGTTTCAATGTAAATAGTTCATTGAATTGCATTATGCTAAAGAAATGTTTTTCTTGTGAAGAACTTTTTAAGTTAAAACGTGTTTGGATGTCTATACGGCATATACGATTAATGATCCTATGCCTTTCAATAGGATGGACTCTATTTTATAAACTCGTGAGCTGACATTCAAAGCTGTGGCTATATGTACAATCTCCGTCGATCTTCTTCTGTGCAGCTACCCTTCACATAGTAACTGAGTTTTGTAACCTGTATGCATCTGTGTGTGCTTACAAAATAGATTTAAAAAATATATTTATATATAACCATTGACTCGTGCATGAGATAAGTGTATATAACAGGTCTAGCGATTCCATGATTTGATGCTTTTGCTTACTAGTCGTGAAGAGTTATTTCTTCACCATGCATTTTTCATGATATTTTTGCAAATTTCTTGTTGAAGATTGTTTACGACTGTCTGGGTAAAGTGTAAAGGTGGTTATTTTATGACAAAGCTGTGGAATTCAGGATATTTCTATCGAGTTTATATATATATATATATATATATATATATATATATATATATATATATATATATATATTGTCTTATCACTCCTTCATCTATGAGGTGTATGCAACTCAGTTATTTGGAACTTAATCAGACATGGACCGGAATTAAAATTAGTGGCCACTGCGTTGTTTTCCTTTCTTGCTCTTCTTAAGCACTAACATGTAGGTTAAGATAATGAATTTTATCTTGTATTCATATTCAAACTTCATCCATGAGCAAAATTGCTATCGTTACATGAATTCATGTCTTATTGCTTTATTATTATTATTATTATTATTGTTATTTATTTATTTATTTAATTTATTTGAACACATAGATATTGGTATAAAGAGGCACCGAATACATATGCACCACAAAAATCTCATTTGATTTGTGTGAGAGCTGTGATACTGCCCGGGTGCCCAAATCGAAGCAGGTGGTTTTCTTAGGGGGCCACACACAGAACCTTCGACCTAAAGGTCTGATCTACAAGGCAGTGGAGCAACGGTAGGAGATGCAGTCCTATGGTAGCCGGTGACCAACAATTCGTTCTTACACCATTTGTTCCTTCAGGATCCATGGCCCCCGAATGCCCTGGTACGGCCGAGAGTGGGGTGAGTCCGCTCTCCCTCTCGAAATACTCTCACACGGCCGCGCGTATACAGCCTCTGCCAGGGAAGTCCTACTCATTGCCTTCTCGTGGCGGGGGTGTTGTTTACGAAAATGAGAGGACGAAAAGCGAATATCCGGCGCTTTAACCGGATTCCGAATCAATGGTGCACATGGGCTCCAGTATCCTGCGGGAACGAATGGCGTATGAACCAATCGTTGGTCACCGGCTACCATGGGATTGCATCTCCTTACGATGCTCCACTGCCTTGTGGGTTAGACCTTTAGATCAAAGGCTCGGGGAGTGGCCCCCTAAGAAAACCACCTGCTTCGGTCTGGGCACCCGGGCAGTATCACAGCCCACACACAAACGATGAACTCTATGTCTATGGCAACTACTTTTCTCGCTCCAAAAACAATCAGTCGATTCAAATAATTATCATTACTATTATTGTCATTATTAATACTATTATTATTACTATTACTGTCATTATTATTATTATTATTATTATTATTATTATTATTATTATTATTATTATTATTATTATTATTTTCCACATTATTCACCCTCTTTTATACTTATACAGCGGCTCGTCTTTGGTGGAAATCCGACTGTATCTAAACGTTCTCGAGTCACTGTCCGGTTGAAAGTTGTATGTTACCATCGAATATGAGTACTGAAGCAGTTTTTCTGAAACCACGTGCGCCATTCAAACTGGCTGCCTTCAACGTTCGCACACTTATGCAGGTTAGTCAACAGATAGGGCTGGCTATGTCTTTGGAAAGTCTTAATATTGATGTTTGTTGTCTATCCGAGACCCGTATTCAAGACTCTAGCGAAGTACTACAAATTCGCTCTACATCTGTCACTTCAAAAAGCTTGTTTTACGTGCGCTTATCCGGGGACCCTGTGGCATCTTCGTCTGGTCTTGCAGGCGTTGGTGTCGCACTAAGCGCTAGAGCTGAGGCAGCACTAGTCGATTGGATCCCCATTAACAGTCGGTTATGTGCTGTTAGATTAGAAAGTTCCATCAAAGTGAGAAGAAATCGGCGTGAGAAACGATGTCTTTTCGTCATCTCCGCCTATGCTCCGACAGATTGCAGCCCGGATGCAATTAAGGATGAGTTTTACCACCAGTTGTCTGTTCTTCTCCAGAAAGTGCGTTCGACAGATATTGTAGTACTAGCCGGAGACTTGAATGCTCAGGTGGGGCGTCTAGGCACAGAAGAGAGTCGTTTAGGTGGCCGATAGGGACTCGTTGGTCGCAGGTCAGATAACGGGGACCGTCTACTGCATTTTTGCACAGACCACAACCTGTTTCTGGCTAGCACTAACTTTCGGCACAGTCATCGCCGACGTGCCACCTGGCGTCCTCCCTCTGCATCCCAAGCCTGGACTCAGATTGATCACATCGCGATCAGCTACCGCTGGCGTGGTTGTGTAGAGGACTGCCGCTCCTTTTGGAGTACCTATCTGGACTCTGACCATGCCTTGGTCTGCGCCAATCTTGCCTTACTTTTCAGTGGCCAACGAAGTGACCGCCACTAAAGGATTGATGTCAGCAAGTTGGTTGCAACTTCTGTTGCTACTAAGTATCGCGCCAAGCTAGCCTCTAGGCTACCTACCATTCCACTGAAAAGTATAGATGAGCATTGGTTACAACTGCACGGCACCATGGGAATGGCGAGTAAAGCCGCTTGAGGTTTTGCGAAATGTCCAGCTTTTAAGCACTGGGTTTCTTCTGGTTCCTTACAACTCATTGAAGCCCGTCGGTCTACTCCGGGTAACCGTGAGTTTGACCATAAACGAAGGATGTTACGTCATGAAATTGGGCAAAGGTTGCGTAAGGACCGAGAAGCCTGGTGGTCGAAGCGTGCTAATAAGCTGAAAGCAGCAGCTGCATCTGGTAACTATATAAAAACACCTCAGGCAGAGTGAGGGCATACAACCACCTTTCTCCATTGTTCCATTCGAGTAGTGGGGTTAGGCAGGGTTGCCCAATCTCACCATTCCTCTTCAACTTTGCCATCGATGACATTCTGGAAACAGCTCTGATGAATGTAAGTAATGATGGTGTGGATCTGTTGCCTGGAGAAAGACTTCTCGACCTTGAGTATGCGGACGATATTGTCTTACTGTGCGATAATGCCCAAGGCATGCAATCCGCACTTAAGCAGTTGGCAATCAGTGTCCGTAGGTATGGTATGTGCTTTGCACCTTCGAAGTGCAAAGTACTCCTACAAGGCTGGAAGGATTCCAATCCTGTACTCACCCTGGATGGTGAGCAGATAGACGTAGTCGAGAAGTTCGTGTATCTGGGTAGCTGCATAAGTGCTGGTGGGGGTGTGAGTGATGAGATCAATGCACGTATAGTGAAAGCCAGAGCGGCTTATGCCAATCTGGGCCATCTATGGCGCCTTCGTGATGTTAGTCTGGCCGTAAAAGGTCGGATCTACAACGCGTCGGTGAGAGCAGTTTTGCTCTATGCTTGTGAAACCTGGCCTCTCCGAGTTGAGGACGTTAGACGAATCTCTGTGTTCGATCATCGCTGTCTCCGAAGGATTGCTGACATTCAGTGGCAACACCATGTCAGTAATGCAGAGGTTCGGCATCGTGTGTTCGGGCACAGAGATGATAACTCAATTGGTGTCACCATCTTGAAA